TATCTCAATTAACTGTCAATTACTAGTACGCAAGAAGTTTCGAGAAATGCCAACTTCATTTTCTAAATGCAACATTGCCAGGTTATCGATAATTATCGAACATAAAACATTAAATTACTTACGTTTCCTAATAATAGAATATTAATATTATGATTTATAATTAAAAATTAGCAATCAATGTTATCTTTTAATTTTAATAAATCATAAGGCTAAAGACTAATATAGGCCTTTCTTATTATTAAAAGATTTTCATATTTTTGGATATTATCCATGAAAAACAATAGCGTACCTTCCTCACCCGCAAATGATCGATCGTACATCCTTAAATTGAAATTAAAAAGGTGTACATTTACTATTGCATATTTTACTATTTTTCTTGCGGTAAAACCGCTGAAGCAATCAGAATCATTTATGAGATGTAAACCTAACACACGATTGAAAAGTACAGACAATAGGAACAGAGAACAACAAATTTCAACTCATCAGAAACTGTGTACTCTAGTATATATGATTTTTTATAGATTAAAATTTGTTATTCCTTGTTCCTATTGCCAGTATTTTTCAGCTATGTTTCAAGCCTTATGGAGAAAAAAATTACTTCTGAAAGACCGTACCAAGATTGTTTTAAAAGATTTAAAAATAATGATTTTGATGTAAACGATAAACGCGCACCAAAACATTTCTTCACTATGGCATTTATATATTGTCTGAAAAATTGCAAAGTGATAGATTCGAAAAACTAATATTTTCCATTTCTTTTATATATATTAATAAATATATTAATAAATATATTTTTGAAAAAAGTTCGCGGAAATTATTTATACATCTAATATTTAATTTTGAAACGGGTTACCATTGTACATCTTGTACTCTTTCACTCTTAACTTTCAATTCTTTAATGAATTTATAAAACTTAAACTTATGTAGGATTGGAACCGAGAATTGAAGTTCGGGAACTTAATGATTATATTCGCTGACAAGGGAAGGTTTAGAAATAATCCTCATTGATTTCAATAAAACTTGACAGGATTATAAAGTGTTTTCCTAAATATAATTATATCCTTATTTGGGTGTATATACAATCAACCATTTTCGAAATATTTCATTAAATATTAAATTTAGTAGTTGTATAAGTGAAATATTTTTCATGAGACTTTATTAAAATGTTTATTCCGAATAGTTGTAGCGTAATGAATATGGTAATTGTTTCTTAATTTATAGATTCGATCGTGAGGTTTAAACCTCACTAGCAATTAATTTTTTTGACATATAATATATGACAGGAATAATTATTGAGAAGAAAAATTAATTATTTTTATTACACATTTCTACTTTTACAAATTTTAGAATGAAGGTTTTAATAAAAATAAATATAATATAAATTTTTGAAAATTCAACAACAAAGAAATAGAACTAATGACCGTAACGATTAAAGCTAGATCTTTAATGCTTGAATAATTCAATCTGAATTATTATATAATTATACTATATATGTACTTGCATATATATAGTATATATATTTGTAGTCATTCTGCGTGCCAAATTGGTTTTCCGGACTTATAAATGTAATTAAACTACTGTAATAATATCACAAATTAAATTAATAAGTAATTTTAATAATTTGATGCTCAATCAGACATCATATTAAAAAGATGTTAATATGCTGAAAAACTGTAAATAAATTTATTCCGAAAAATATTACCTCAGCCGAGAATCGAACCCGGATCTCTTGTATTTCGTATGAGCGTCCTAAGCCTTTAGATTATGTTGATAAATCCGGAAAACCAATTCGGCGCATTCGAATGTCAATAAATATGGCATATAAAAATATATAGTGAATATAATAATTCAGATTGAATTAAAAAACAAAGAAAAAAGAGGGTTACGAACCAAAAATTATTATATAAGATAAAACATGATAATGTAGAAACAATGAATTATTTAAGCATTAAAGATCTAGTTTTGACCGTTACAATCATTACTTCTATTTCTTATTGTTGAATTTTCAAATGTATGGTCCAGTAAAATTCTTATTGTTTATAAATTGTTGAAGTATCATGAACTCGCGTACAAATTCTAATTGTTACTACTAAATTTAATATTGAAATATCTCAGAAATGATTGACCGTTTACGTTCAAATAAGGGTGATGATTATATTCAGGAGAACACACTATAAGTTTCATTGAAATCAATGAAGGCCACTTCTGAATTTCATTGTAAGTCATGCAGTATCCCACTAAAATTGCAATAACTCACTTTGGGAACACATACATTATCTTATTATGTACATGTATCTAATTTTTATATTACAGATTTAAAACAATGCCATACGTCACTGAAGAAGATAAAAGTGTAGTTAGCACACCTATAAAAGAAAGATTGACGAAATTGATTCAGGAAGAATCTGGAGATGTTTCGATAAAGAACGAAGATGAGGCAGTACCAAGTAAAAAAACTAAAGTCTCAGGTATTTTTTTTTTTTTTTTAGATAATTATATATAACGCATCTTCAATTATGCAGGCAACGTGAAATAGACATTTTAGATCCATTTTTAATTACAGGTATGGAATTCTTACTTGGTGGCCTATGCACTACAAAGGCCGGTATGCCCGCGGAGGAAAAAGCTGATCTTGAAATTGTTCAATATCAGTCGGAACCTACAGCACCTCTTGATTATTGTCCGCTGCAATGGTGGTCGAAGGTATCGGCGAAATGTCCGAATCTGGCAAAGTTAGTGAGCAGATATCATTGTGTGCCCGCTTGTTGCGCACCACCTTCACGCATCCCGCCAGACATACAAATTCAATATGATACAAGACGAGCAACTTTGCCGCCTCATCTGATTGACAAATTACTCTTTTTGCATGGTAATCATACCATGCAGATGTAAAAAAAATTTCTAAGCCTGCAAGATGCTGCCTGAAAAATATCTCGCTGTGGTATATAGGATATTTTCACGAACAATGTCAAATTTACTTGCAATAATTTAGTCCAAAGTGACATACATGTGCAAGTAAATTCTTTTGTATAACTTTCTCTAACTCTGTATACAATGTAAGTATTATGTAAGTATTTAAGATACAAAGAATGTCAATTTTGTTTTTATTTTTATTGAATATGACATTTTCCTAAGATTCGATATAAAAATTATCAGTCATTATCTAATAAGTGAAATGCGAGAGTTAAGGCTCCTAAGAGTAGTTATTCCAGCCATATTGAATTGTGACGTCATAAGCGAGAAATAACATATTGATTTTTCTTGCATATCATTTGTGAATAAAGAAAATTTGGATGAAATGAAATGATGAGATCGCTTTAAAACCTTTGTAAAAATGAACGAAGCCTCTTCTTATTTTTCTGACAGTTAATAAAGAGTCGAAAAAAACTCGTGAAGTGAAAATAAACTACACATGTGCATTGAATAAAAACTAGTAAACGCACTTACGTGTCTTTTATGACTATTTACAGTACTTACAGTATTTACAGTATCAAGAGAGATAAGGATAATTTTCATCCATTTTTACAAGTGTTTTAAAGCGATCTCATCATTTCATTTCATCCAAATTCTCTTTATTTACAAATGGCATGCAAGAAAAATCAACGTGCCGCTTATGACACATTTTTAGCTTATAACGTCATGATTTAATATAGCTGGAATGAGTACTCAGGAACCGTAAGATGCGTTTCGAGTAATGCATGAAGCGCATCATGCAACATTTGTCTCTGTTATTCATCGAATAATAAAGAAAGATAAAATAATACATTATGCACTTCATATGTAACTCGGAACATATCCTTAATGTAATAGAGTTTTACATATAAGGCGAGGTTAATGTAAGAGAGTTTTTGCATAATTTAATTTTTAATTTATAATTAATAGAAACCGATATAAAAAAATCTCTCTAGTAGAACCAATAAATTATTTTTACATAAACTTCTAAATTTTCTTAAAAAGAATATATTTGAAATATTCATATTTTGCATAATAAAAAGTTTTTAGATTTTCGTCTTTTTGATCGAGAAGTAAGAGCGCTCTTTTATATATTTCAATACAGCAGATTCACATGAAATTGAAAAATAAATGTTAAAATCAAATGTTTGTATGGTCAATTCTAAGTTTGTTTGTTACAAAAAAATCATGTATAGAAAATACAGTTATTACGATTAATAATAACTATTAATAAATTATGTTTTATAATGCCTGTTCTACATTACGCAAGTCGTAAGCCGTAAGAAATTGGCCAATCACAGTTGAATGTGAGAAAAATAATCGACTATGATTGGTTAATTTCTTACAGCTTAATTTCTTACAACTCTATTGTAGAACAAGCCTTAGAGAATTAAAAAATGAACAAAACTTTATAATGAGTACACGAACAATTGCCTATAATTGTTAGGACGTAAATAGACAGTCCCACCTCAATGTAAATATACCAATATTAATTTGTTTTTGCAAAAAAAGTCTTATTCATATTTTAACCATTCATGTATTTTATATTTTAATATAATACTGCCCTGGATTGTATGAGAGTTCGTTATATATTTTTCTTTTTAATTTAATACAAATTTGATAAAATACCTAATAACATATAATTGCATTTCATTATTTATATTATTATTGGTTTAAAGTGTATAAACAACCAGCATTTGCTATAAACATTTCCTATAAACATTTATTATCAAAAAATGTTGAATATATAATCGAAATTATTTCTTGCACTGAAAAATAACCTAAATAAATTTGTAATATATATATATATTCTATGTATATGTATATCTCACGCTATTGAGAGTTCAATTTTGATTTTATATTAATATAAAAATTAAGATAATATTAGGTCACAGATAAATGTAATAAACTTATACAATTATTTGTTTTAAATTTTAATTATTTTAAATTTATTAACAAATTCTGATATACAATTAAATAGATTCATCAGCCAGATATTATGATTGGAACTTTGTACAATGCACAGTGAACTTATATACAGAGGATCCTATAACTCTTAATTAATATTTCTGAGAATGAAAAAGGATGAATTTTTGAATTAAAAGTTCTTTTCCCAATTTTGACTCAAATCATTATTTACCGAGTTATTAACAATTAAAATTGATCAATCGGATTGTGCCTAGTCGGAATACGCAGGAGCACAGCATGCTATAGGCATTCCTCGTTCTTACTGTACATTCCCCCATTAAAATTTTATTGTAATTTTTCATATTAATTAATAAATAAATAAATGCATAGATAAATAAATAACTTACCCATTTATTGATTATACATAGTTTAAGCCAAAATTTGGGAAAGGAACTTTTAGTTTAATATTTCATGCTTTTTTTACTCCCAGAAATATTAATTAAGAGTTATAGAACATCTCCTTATATGAGTGATCACATCTATAAATTGCTCGAGACTAATCAAAATGACACAAAAGATAATGTATAAGAAGTATAGAATAATGAATTATTTTTCATTAATGTATTAATATGTGCATTGGCACAATCATTTCATTAATGCATAAAATCATTTCTTCCTCGATTTCGAAAGACATAGAACGTACAAATATAAAAATGTGTATATAAAAAGTTTGTAATAAAAGTTTTTTTATACAATGTATATAAATTGTACAATGTTTGTATAGTATATGAATTTAGAAATTAATTTATGGATATATCAACTTCGTTTCATTTATGTAATATAATCATATAAATTTGTATAAATATAAAGACATTGTATAAAAAGCTTAAAATAGTAAATTTGAAATACACAGATATATTCTTACATCTATATTTTATCAGAGCTACAATTACCCTTTATGTCTCATCAAAATTTTATTTACGTGTAATCACGGAATACTCAATTGCTTTTGTACCCAAGCAGAACTTTTATAGAATCTTGGATCACCGATTCTCAGAGAGGCTCTTTTGTAAAAGTAATAATACAGCACTGCAACTTTATAAAAATCCTGAATTACCATTTATTTATCAACGTTCTAAGATAATATTCTAAGTTTTTTAATGTTGTACCTGTTCTATGTGCAGAATAAAGAGTGTGAAATTCTTTTGTCCAATAATGTTTTAACGGCATTGACCAATGTATACTGATGTGCCATGTATGCAAACTGATTGATAACATCATATAGATAATGCATAATACTAATGTCATACGGAATCTTGTGTACAGTAGCTGTATCAAACCTGCCTGAAAATGAAATCTAGTTTACATATCTCTGTCAAATATACATGATATAGGAAATATGAAAACTTGTCAATCAGTAAACATAATTTAATAATTCCAGCTTTAAACAGAATATTGTAGCAAATGTCAATTGCATTCAAATTAAGCTTCCACCAACAAAGTTTGCCGACATAGTAGATTATTAATATCATTTAAATGATTACGAAACGATTACGAAATTTTACTTGGTTTTCATGATTCGTCTGCCATCATATTCTGCAATACTAATTTGAGGCATTTTGCTAAGGAATTCCACATTATCTAATTGTATGGAAAATTGAGTGAATTGAGTTAATTTTCACATATGATATTAGGCTTATAATGCGATGAATACAGATATCGTTGACATAAAGCTCAATAGTGAATAGTTTTTGAGCTTGGTGTATCAAAAATGTAAAACTTGTGTTCACAGAACACATTTGATGTACTAGAGCTAAAAAAATATCCATTATTGAATCTATATCTTTTATTTATTACATTATATTACATTATAAGGTATATTATATGCAAAAATGCGGGATCAACAATAGAAGTCGCAAATGGTAGTAGGATTTTATATCATAGAAAAATTGACTAATCACAATTTAATATGAGAAGAATAATCGATTGTGATTAATTTTTTACGACTTAAGATCTCACGACTATCTATAACTCCTACTATATACCCCAACTCGTTTCATTGGGATCCAATTTTTCAGTTACTTTGACAACTTGAGGAGCATTTTAAAATGTGTCTCATCCAAAATTTTATTTTCTGAGTTAAAGAAATGACGTAGTGATGAAATTATATTTAAAATGAAATTATATTTATATTTAAGCTAATCTGAAATGTTCAGAGAGCATTTTTTTATTCTCAATTTATATACTGAAAAGAATCTAGACATTTACAGTGCATTATGTCCTTTAAGAAACAAAATTTCTTTATACCTTTAGCATTTTTAGTAATTTTTTTAACTTTTAACAGCCTACTGATTGACATATTATTATTTTCTCTAAAGTGTGTTAGTTTTCTTTATTGTTTTCTTGAAAATTGTAAATTTCAGACAAAGCGTATTTTTAAAGTCTACTCTTCACTTGTAAAATATATTTTTAACAGATTAACACGCTGTAAATTTACACAACATTCCTTATTCTGATTTTCTTATAATTTCGTATATTTTTAAAATATTTAGAAATTAGAAAGAAATTTAGAAAGAAAATCGTCACTCAATTCTTGTTTTTCATTTAATTTCAAGTTTTTTTTTATGTCAATATAAAAGAAAGACAAATTGCGTGCGTGCGTGTGTCAACACTATTTATTATTTATATTCTCTATAATTTAAATTATATAAGAAAACAGTTTATATTAAGACTATGCGTTTCGCATTCTTATGCTAATTTGGACATTCCAAGAACGAATCTGGACACGGAGAAAATCTACTTTATATAGAAAGCATCCATGGAAGCCTCAAGAATAAAACAGTTTGTGTCTAATTAATTAAAACAGAGAATAATCATCAAATTAATTTCTTATTAACATAAAAAAAACTTAAAAAAGAAAAAGAACAAAATTTGAGTAACGAGATTTCTTTTCTTGAAATAAATTCTACTCGACTAAAAATACATAAATGTAAAAAAATAATATCTGGCTACAAATTTGAATTAAGTTCACCTGGAAGATGTAAGTAGAAAAGAAGTTTACTAAGAGCAATGTGAGGGCTACAATGAGGCAAAAGTCTTGAATCCTGAAATTGTTGCATCGATTAAACACAATTCCATAACAATAGATCGTCATAATAAAGGCACGATGAAAATTATAAAAAATTATTACGCACACATAAAGTACCAGCAGGTCGGTTGGATGCTGCCTGGCAAAGCTCGCGAACGAATTTATGCAAACGTCAAAGAGCAATATAACATATTGCAGGATTATGATAATCGTGTATTGCCTCGTGTTTAAGGAATTCATTTACTATTTGTTGCTATTTGTACATTTGTACAAGAAATCTCACGAAATGTAAATAGCGGTCTGTTTTCTGTTCCTACTGCACTAGATTATTTTAGAATCTCGCTTTCGACAAATATCAAACATATATCTATCTCACTTTAAGTTCCAAAAGTGTACACTAATTCAGCCACAGAAAACAGACCTTAGGTATACATAAGCTTGTGGAATGTGGAATGCTAGTCGACCAGATTGTCGCGCAAGTGGTTGCTATGACAATTATTGCCTAACCCAACTTGTGACCCAACTTGATCGACAAAATTCTTGGCGCGAATGATGTGACAGCTTGAAGGTTAAGTAGAATTCGTATACTCCTGACTCGCTCTCTGTTTTGTATCCATCTATAGCTTTACAATATCGTGCATACCTGTTGATCTTGATCAAAATGAAGTGTATTACTCCTGAAATTTCGTGGCATAATCGCGACCCAGTCCTGAGTGTCGATGTACAGAGCGGTTTGAATGAAGATCTGAAAGGAGATACGTTTTGGAGAGTGGCGACTGGAGGAGCGGATTGTCATGTTTTGGTAACATAATTAAATTGAAAATTGTAAAAACTCATATAAAAATATTATTAAGCACTGGTTTGACCGAATAAACATTTACTTCTTCGTTTATTTGTGTTATTTATATATAATATTGGCCGATTTTCCATTTATTGTTATAATTATACTAGATATTTACTTTGAACAAAGCTAAAGAATAATAATAGTTTTTTTATTTTTCTTTATATATATATATGTGGTAACAAAGAAAATATATAAGGAAAACCATAAAAATGTGTAATTTTTATTAAAAAATCAAGTTATATTTATAAATATAAATAATATTTATATAATAAATAATTGTATGTGTGTGTGTGTGTGTGTGTGTGTGTATGTGTATGTGTGCATGTGTGTGTGCATGTATTTTAATAACAATAATAGTACTACTAACTAAAAATAGCATATATAATATTTATATTAATGGAACATAATGCTACAAAGTTTGTACATGATTTTAATAATGTCAGATATTTAAGAAGTAAGGATACGTTTAACGTCTTGATCTAATTATGATTACACATTCAAGGATTTTACAAAATGATTGTTTGTTTTTTCTAAATGATTGTATACAGATTTGGCATTTAACGACAACCAAATGTGGGAGAGCTATTGTGAATTTTGCAGCAGACTTGGATCGTCATCAGAGAGCAGTAAATGTTGTGAGATTTTCTTTGTCGAGGGAAATTCTAGCATCAGGAGATGATGGTTTGGCAACTTGATATTATTTTACTAATTACTTATTGTTCTCTTGTTAAGGAAAAGAGTTGCCTAGATTACAATTGATTTTAATACACAGAATCGATTATTATTTTGTGGAAAATCAAGGATGGACGAGACTTGTCTCCATCTTCAAGTGATACAGAAAATAAAGAACAGTGGACTTCCTGGAAAGTACTAAAAGGTCACATCGAAGACATTTATGATATTAGTTGGTCGCCGGATTCCAATTTTTTAATCTCTGGATCTGTTGATAATACCGCTATACTATGGGATATCCAGAAAGGTCGTAAAACTGCGATATTACAGGACCACAAAGGTTTTGTTCAAGGAGTATCTTGGGATCCTTGCAATCAATATGTATGCACTATCAGCACAGACAGGTATGTAATTGAACAGCATATTGACAAAAATTGTTATCTCTACTTGAAATTTTTCGGCGAGAACAAAAAAGTTTGTATAATTTTTCTCATTCAAGTTATCAATAAGATAAAAAATTAAGAAAAACCTATTAATTTGAAATAACAAAACGTATATAATAAGAAATACATTTTCTATTTATTAAAATGACTGATTTTGCAGCTGTAGAAAGAACTTTTAATTGATTTTGTAATAAATCTGCCATTTTTATTAAACATAATTAATGGATATAAGTATATTTATAACAGAGTAGGAATTTGGGGATTTGGCTTCTTTTACAATGAGACTCACCTTCTTCTCTAATTTTGTAGGATTTATAATTTTTACACATTTTTTAATCATTCAATTCGTAACTAAAAAGCTAAGGCAAATTTCGTTTTTTAATTTTTGATATAGCTGCTTTCGCATTGACTATTCAATTATAAATTACGCAAACGTAAAGCATCTGCTAAATTTTAATTGTGAATCAAATTCATTATTTTCAGATACTGTCGTTTAATAAGCATTGCCACGAAAAAGGTTGTTCAGCGCGTTTATAAGTCTAAAATCCCAACACCATCCGATAGCTCATTGCAGGGGAAATTCGTGCGTCTATTTTACGACGATACTTTCAAATCTTTCTTCCGCAGGTTGACCTTCTCGATAGACGGATCCCTAATTTTCGTTCCATCTGGAATAATCGAGTTGCAGGAGACTACAGAGACTATATCAAATGCAGTAATTGTTTTCTCTAGAAAAAATATAAGAGAGTTAGTATTAAATTTCTAATAAAATTCCAAATCCGTAACTTGGCTTAAAAAAACAATCATAATAATAAAATCGATTTTTTTTAGACCAATAATGATCTTACCTACTTTAAATGAATGTACTATAGCAGTACGATGTTGCCCTGTCTATTTTGTATTGCGACAGGATAGTCCAGATGCTTTAATACCGTTGCCTTATAGAATGGTATTTGCTGTTGCGACGCAGAGTTCTATATTACTCTACGATACGCAGCAGACTTCTCCGATCGGTGTGGTATCGCTCATTCATTATGGTAGATTAAATGATCTTTCGTGGTACGTCATTGCCAATATGATATATTTGTTCAATTCAAATTATTTCCGAGTCTTAGCGTCTTTTTTTATAGGTCTAGCGATGGCAAAATTTTAATCACGTCTTCGAGTGATGGTTACTGTTCCATAATACACTTTGAAGAAGGTGAACTAGGGGAAATTTATAAGATGAAAGAAAATTCTTTACAAGAGAGTACAATAATAAAGGAAGCATCCAAAAATTCTAGTAAAAAATCTTTGTACAGTACAATCAAAGACAAAAATAATGTTCCAACATTCGATGTGGATGATTGTGCGATGGACATTGAACTTATAGAAAGCAACACACTCAACACAATAACGAATAATCGATCTGAAGAACTTAATGAACAGAAACCGAACGAAATTATTAGTAGCGAAAATATTACATCAAAAAATAATTTACAGATAGACAAGAAATTGAATGAAGAAGAAACAGAAGATATCAAATTGGTGTATAATGAAGAAAATAGTAGCGATGTGATCAAAATCAAAACCAGAAATAGTCCGCCAAAGTCTAATGCTCTTATTATATGTAACAAAACTCCTAGAAGAGTAAAATTAATAACTTTATCGAGTCCAAAAAGACTCAAGAAATAATAGCTTGTAAAAAATAGACTTCTAAGATTTATTATGTAACTTTTAACTATACCGGGTGTTCAAAATAAAGTATTACAAATTTTTATCTCGGAAACATGGATTATTGAGAAAAATTATTCAGACAAAAGTTGTAGAATTCAAAAAGATCTTACTGATCTTATCAATTTGACTTTGGTGGCGTCATCAAAATTATATCGATTTTTTTAAATAGAACATCCTACTTTTTTCCCATTGTCAAAAATATTAACGTGAAGCTATCTTTTTTCAGTTTAAATAAACTCAATAGATTCATTACAGTACAGAAGGACAAATTTCTCCCAAAATTTTTCAATAAAAGGAATCCTGGTTTACAGGATTCCTTGCAAAGATTGCGATTGTATGTTGGGCAAACGAGTCGAAAATTAGTCACTAGAATATCTGAGTATCAAAACTACATTAAATAGTAATAAAAATCAATTAGTGATTACAGAACATCGACTTGGTTTTAATCATGAATTCAGAGAATATTCAAATTCTTGATAGAGTAGGCTTCAAGATTGATTCGGATTTAAAGTTATCCAGATATCCGTTTATCCAAATTACGAATAAATGTGATGCTTCGGGTTATTCGGAGATTCAAATTTTCTAATATCCGAATCTGAGATCCGAATAGTAAAAGTCAAACCTAGATCCGATTTTCAGATTCGGATTTATAGCAAACTTATAGCGAATTCGATTGGATGCATTTAGTACGGACTGAATGTATATTAAAGTCATTACATTATACACTTATTTAATCTGAATATAAAAGTATATTAGAAATACAAATAATAGAGAGCACCTTAGGATCGGTCAAAGTTAAATGTTTCGAATAATATTCTTGGTTCATGAATTTAATCTCAAATGTAACCAAGAATATTATTCGAAATATCCAACTGATCCTAAGACGTTCTCTACTATATTATGTATTACTTGTTACATTAACTCGGTCGGTTTTTATTTCATAAATATTTCTCTTATTAGTCTTGTATATCTTTGTTATTAATATTTTAAGATTGAGAGCCTGTTCTAAATCTTTATATTTATAAATATAATAATATTAAATTTCATAAGACGTGAGAAACACAACCTATAGAAACAAATGCCTTATTAAACGGTCTAGTTGAATTTTAAGTGCTTCTATAATTCTTGTATGAATCTATATTTATATTTTTTAATTTTATTTTTCTTCAATTATATATGTGAATCAAAATTCAATTTTTATTTAAAAAATAACTTATATTAAAATTTATTAAATACATCGATGTTTTCTTTCTAGACTCCGGATCCAAATTCAGATCCGCATTCCGCGGATCCGAATAATTCGGATATCCGGATTATTATATATCCGGAATAATACGGTTTTCAGTTCTCGGATCGGAATCGATTTCGGATATCCGAATATCTAGATATTCGAATACTTAGAAGCCCTAATGGAGAGATTTCTCAATAAACGATTAAGTTCCGAAATGTCTCGCATCTATATGCAGAAAAATAAACTTAATTTAAGAACGGACACAAAATGCTTGCACCTTGTATGCCTCCTTATTGGATACGTTTAAATAAAATATTCGAATTTCTTTGTTGTATTAGTTGACAATTATGGGGACAATTATTGATAAATTATTTCGGTTCGTTTCCCTAAAGATGGCTCCAGCTGTTGTGAATGGTTCATAGTGACAACTAATTTTGGCGGTTTCAGAGAGATTAAACATCTGCTAATAATATTCAGTTTATATCGCTTTGAATTTCATATAAAACCTTGATTTTTACTGTGTTTGAAATGTCGAATTTTGTGTTAACCAAGCAGCGGGATTTGCGGGAGGTTTTGATTTTCTGCTTTAATTGGAAGAAAAGTGCGGCTGAAGCCCGATCGAATGCTTGTCGAAGTTTATGGTGACACTGCTCCAATTGATAAATCATGTAGGAAATGATTTCGACGTTTTAAGGATGAAGATTTCAGCGTTGAAGACAAGCCTCGCTCTGGACAGCCAAAAAAATTCGAAGACAAAGAATTAGAGGCATTACTCGAAGAAGATCAGAGTCAAACGCAAGAGGAGCTTGCAGAATCATTGGGGGGTAATTCAACAAGCCGTTTCTGTACGATTGAGAGCCATGGGAATGATTCAAAGACAACAGAGAAAAGGTTTTTGCATCGGATTGTGACTGGAGATGAGAAGTGGATATTCTACGATAACCCCAAGAAGAAAAAAGACTACGCTAAGCCCGGTCAATCATTGCCATCGACATCAACACCACGGCCGAACATTCATGGTTCGAAGATCATGCTCTGTATCTGATGGGACCAAAAAAGGGTCTTGTTTACTATGAGCTGCTGAAGCCTGGCAATTCCATTACAGGCGATCGGTATCGGCTGTAATTGATTCGTTTGAGCCGTGCATTGCGAGAAAAACGGCGAGAAATACGAGCAAAGACATGATAAAGTTATTCTTTTTCATGACAACGCTCGGCCTCATGTCGCTAAAGTCGTAAAAAAATATTTGGAAACGCTCAAATGGGATGTTTTACCGCATTCGCCGTATTCTCCGGACATTGCTCCTTCTAATTATTGGTTGTTCCGAAGGATGCAGCACGATTTGGCAAGTCACCGGTTCACTTCTTTCGCAGAAATCGAAAATTGGCTCCAAAATTGGATCGCTTCCAAAGACGAATCATTTTTTCGAGATGGAATTCGAAAATTGCCTGAGAGATGGGAAAAAGTAATAGGCAACGATGGACAATAATTGATCTGTTCATTCATCTTGTTTTGAAATAAATGCAATTTTGAAAGGACCAAACTAATTTGTATTCTCAATAGTTGTTTTTATTTTCAATGCTTGTTCAATGCAATGTTTGTTAATCTTCTTGTTACATTGTAACGTTTAATTTTAAATGTCACGTCATGACGAACAGACACGAGTTTATATTCAGAACGATATGTATCTAATATACAGTTTCTTATTTAATTTTAAAATTTTGAATTGTTATTTCTGAGCTTCATTTCTTCGTTTTCCATTGAGGTCACTCATTTGGTGTTTTTTTTATTATTTAATAAGAATTACTAGTTATAGATTTTCGAAATTAAAATGATGTAGAAAATTAGGCAAATGAGAGTTCGGTATGATATTTAATGCATAATCATTGATTATATAAATTATATATAAATATTATATAAATTATATTTTTTACTTGCTGTACACTCGAACGTTTCGACCATCTCTTGAAATCATCCTCAGCGAGATCAACGAAGAAAAAGAAATATAATAATTTCTATCCTCTTGCGTATCAGGAGTCCTTGCTCAGCTATGTATTTTCAAATGCTTCATCATGGTCCAAAACCAGTGATAACTACAATGGAATAATAGATGCCTGAGATAAGGTGTTAAAAATTAGTATTCAAAATATTTAAAATATTATCAGCTGAAATTGCAAAGATTCGCCTGAAGAACAGGAGTGAAATAACAATTTTATTACAAAATTAAGCAAGTTTCCATGTCAATTTTACAAAATTTTAACAAGATAACATTATAATTATAATCTGTATCGGAATCATTATGATTTCAAAATTATTTGCGAGAATTCGAAGGTGAAACATAAATAAATAAATATCTCTATTTTTTGGATATTATAATAATGACACCCTGGAATTTGATTGGTCCATAAACTAATTTTTTCTTGGAAATATTTAAATTTGTCTTCATATCCTGTTTCACAGAAAAGAGGATTATTGGAATGATTGATAGAGCTTTCCTTTTGTCACATCCGAAATTTCACAACAAGAATATTGTTTTTGTCATTGAAGCTCTACTTAATAATGATTATCCATTGGACTTCATTTTTGATAATATAAATGCACAATTAAAACCTCTTTGTTACAAACTTTAAAACAAAATGAAAAAAATACTGACGATACGGAAAACATTCATTAGATTACGATTCCATATGTTCAGAATATATCGGAAAAATTTTAAAATATAACGAAAGATTTAAATGTTAAGTTAGCTTTTTAGTTTCAACAAAATGAATAAATTTATTAAAGTTCACAAAAATGTGCTTCCAATTGAATCAAAGAAAAATATAGTGTACCAAATCTCATATAAAGATTACAACGCAACTTATGTAGGCCAAACGGGCAGAAAACTTAAAACCAGAATTTCCGAACATAAGAATCACATAAATAGAAATACTACTCTCCCAATCAGTAATCACATCATAGGTTGCATCACGAATTTGCTTGGATGAATATAAAAATCCTAGATACCGAAAGATATTTAAATAAATGTTTAACATCCAAAATACTATTCATCAAACTACAAAAAAGTAGCATAAATTTACAATCAGATGCTGAATGTCTCAATTATGCGTATATTCATTCTGAATAAGTTTTAAAACTCATATGTTAGTAACTTTACACCGCTCCTAACAATATTTTATTTTTACACATATATATATATATATAAAACAAAGATATTTATTTATGTTTCACCTTCGTATTCTCGCAAATAATTTTTAAATCATAACGACTCTGATATAGATCATAGCTACAATATAGATCATAGCTACAATGTTATCTCATTAAAAATTTGGTAAAATTGACATGGAAACTTGCTTAATTTTGTAAAATTGTTATTTCACGCTCTTGTTTTTCAGATAAGTCTTTGCAATTTCAGCTGATCATATTTTAAATATTAATTATTAACACCTCATAGGTTATTATTCCATTGTAATCATCACCGGTTTTGGACCATGGTGAAGCATTTGGAAATATGCAGCTGAATAGGGACTCATCTGATGACGCAGGAGGGTGGAAACTATATTTCTTTTTCTTCGTTGATCTCGCTGAAGATGACCCCAAAAAGTGATCGAAACATTCGAATGTACAGCAAGTCAAAAATATAATTTATATATACATATAATCAATGATTATGCATTAAGTACCGCATCGAACTCTCATTTGCCTAATTTCTTTATTTTTGTTTGATATATTTTCTTGCTTTATAATGGCAAATTTTAAAATTGATGTAGTGTATTGTTGGATTTCTACCAATCTGCAAGTGACTTGCTCTCAATGGAAGATTTTTGGTTTTGTATTCGCTGAAGAGGACTATAAAGGTAGTCGAAACGTTCGAAATAAATGAAGATAATTACCTAAGTATTATCTGCATCTCTTATTTCTTCACTTTTTACATCAGTGTATAATTCTCTTTAGTCTTATCTAAATTTTTATTTTATTGTGTGGAACATCCTACTTTTGATTCCAGAATAATAGCCGATGTCGATAGCTTTCCAAAACACTATAATAAAATTATTTTTAAAAAACAAATTATATTTAATAGGGTTCTCGAATAAATCAAAGAATAAATATTAATAATAAATATTAGGTGTACAACTTTGCTTCCGCCGTTTTTTTTCCGAAATTCGAGGCTTTATTGTAAAAAACTGGTTATATATTTATGATTCAAAGTATTGTCCATCGCTGGCCACTACTTTCCCCCTTTCGGGTAGCGTACGAATCCCGCGTCGAAAAAACTGGTCATCTTTTGAGGCTATCCACGAATCGATCCAATTTTTTTACTTCTTCATAAGACCGGAAGTGCTGGTCAGCCAGGCCGTGTGCCATTGATCGAAACAAGTGATAGTCAGAGGGAGCAACGTCTGGAGAATACGGCGGGTGGTTTTGACAAATAATATCCAGAACATGATCTTGAACAACATTCAAGAGGTTTCAGCCGTCGGTCGGACACCTTGGGTAATGCCGGCGGTACTGTAAGGACGGGTTTATACCTTGACAGAAAAATGGAAAGGTGGAAGCCAATCAGAACTCGCGGAAAGACAGAAGCAGACAAGCGAAATATACCACCTATTATTACTGCGAGTTTCGTGAACTCGGCCTGATTCTCAAGCATCAACTCAAAAAATACTTAAGGAAAAAATATTTTTTTATAAAAATAACGTTTTGGAAAGCTCTTGACAGCTATTAGATTCTGGAAACAAAAGTAGGGTGTTCCATTTTAAAAAATCGATATAATCTTGATCTGACCTTGGTGACGTCACTCAAGATCAAACTGATAAAATTAGTAAATAGCTCCTACAACTTTTGTCTGAACAATTTTTTCAATAATGCCGTGTTTCCGAGATAAAAATTTATAATGCTTTATTTTGAACATCCGGTATAATTATTTTTTATAACGTATAAAGTAAATATATAGAAAAGAGGCGCCTTCCAATCCTTCCAATGATCTTTATATATATTGTCAAGGTCTTGATTCTGAATGACTTACAATAGGTTTTAGGCATTGGTCGTTGTTCGTTAAAAAGTTAACAAAAAAAATTTGAAAAATAACATTTCTTTTCTATTATGTATATAACACAAAAATTACAACTTTCTATGCGAAGCGAGGTCCACCCCTCCCCCCCTTTCTCCTTGCCAAAATCATGTCTCTGAAGCAGAGAAAGGTGGAGTGAAAGTCGCTTCGCGTAGAAATCGTGCGCCTCTGAAATAGGAGGGGGGAGGGGGGGATGGGTTGAAACTCTCTGCATGTAGAAAACCATTTCATAAGCAAGAAAAAAAAAATTATTCTATGATAATTTTTCGCAAAGTTATCGTCAGTCAAAGTTGGCCAAAATTTTTCTATGTCATAATTACGTTTTATTTAACGCTCGCAATGCTCGCGAGCATCGTTTATCCTTGTTTAATATTTAATAAACAACAAAAATAAAATGATTCCACGAATGTTGCGAGCTTTGTGGAACACACTCTATATATTATATATTGGGTTGTCCGGAAAGTTCGCGCCACAAAAGATTTAAATTTAATAAATGAAATTAAAAATTTAAATCTGCGTTTCAATTTTCCTTCAAAATCGGCACGAACTTTCTGGACTCAATATGTATAGCAGAAATAAGATGTTATTTTTTCAAATCTTTTTTTGTTAATAACTTTTTGTGAATAACGAGCGACAGCTAAAACTTGTTAGAAGTTATTTAGGATCATGACCTTGACAACATATATCAAGGTCAAGATTATTGGAGGCGCCCATTTTCTATATATATTTATCATAATAACACTAATCAGAGCGTAAAAAGATTACTCCTGACAAATATTTTAAGAAATATAGACTTTTAATTATAAATAATAATGAAGATAATTATTCTTGTATGTGTAAGATATCTTTGACCTTTTTCTTTACCAGAGTTGTGTACAAAAGAACATTCCTGTACCTTGAACTATTCCCGAGAAAACAATGACCGATAGTGTACCTTGTCTGTAGATGTGCACCCGCATATGCAATTGTCGTGAATACTATAGCAGTTTAAGCTGATTCGCGTCGCTTATGAATTCCGGTTCATAGATAGATACCGTATGTAGCGCTACTATTAAATGGCGAAGCGCAGTGATCGTACTATCCGCAAAGTCAGACAGTGAACGAGTCGTGGTCCGACACGCTGCTTGCTATCGAGTGCAAACGAATAATCAGATATCGAAAAAATGGTAAGTACTTTGCTTCTCTATTACATCTTTTTCATTAATATCGAATATTTTCAACTATTATATTTCTCCTTAAAAAAAATAAACATATATATATATGTGTGTGTGTGTGTGTGTGTGTGTGTGTGTGTGTGTGTGTGTGTGTATTTTGTATTTTAATAAAAACATGTTCAATTTAATTTTATAATTGGAGACTGATTTTATAAAGGAAATTACTTCCAAAATCATTTTTATTCTTCAAAAAAATAAAGAAAATTTATAATATATATTTTAATTGATAATATTTGATAATATTAGGATACAACTGTATAAAATATAATCTTATTACCTTATTATTCTATTTAGTTTCTATATTAATAAATAGAATAGAGCTTTTTATATGCAAATGCATTTACATAAAAAATCGTAGGTAACAAGCCTGACAATATTTGTCGTTTTAACGAAATATTTTGTCTCAGATAGCAAATAGACATTATTTGTCATCATTTTTGATTAACGACAATAATATCTATTTGCTGAGACAAAATATTTCAGCATATTCTTAACATATTTTCAACATTTTTCTAACATTCAATATTTAAAATCGTAATTTTTTTTAAATTATCATTATTTACACATTTATACACTTATTTATCGTAATTTTTATCTTCATATATTAAAATGTATGAATTTTAATAATATTAATGTAATTCTTCTATTTGTTACACAAACATATACATTTGTAAACATTTTAATAACGAGAATTGTAGGTCTTTATACAACAACGCTGTTCCTGGTAAGCGTATAATATACATGCTATACACGTCATAAAAGTATACAGCTAGGAAAATATCACGCTTGTGCTTTTAAATGTTCACTTAGAGCTTATGAGGTCAATTAAAAGTTTTTTTCGAGTAGATTAAATGAATGGAAAAGAAACTCAAGGAGAAATGATTAAAAGATCGATTGAAAAAAATCTCTGTCCGAAAATAATGTTTCGTAAAATATTAAAGAAATTTCTATGTTAATAAACATAATAACTTTTTTAATATTGAAATGCAATGCTTTTTTTAACAAAATCTTTTAGTTTAACTCTGTTACGGTTTCTTACCGTTAGTTAAACAAAGCTAAATACTACTACGCATAAATTTTTCAAAATGATTAATATATTTGTGAAATATCAAAAGAAATTGAGATATCAATCTTATTGATACTATATAGGTTTTTATTTTTTTATATATTTCAACTACATGAGAAACATGAATTACGAAATATCGATCCATGCTTTGAATACCTGTCAATCGACAACATAGTAAATATATATTAGTAAAATTGAGAGTGCTAAACAGCCGAATGGAATTCATTCCTAAATCTTAAAAATATTATTTCTCGCTTCAGAGAAAAATATTCGATACAAATTTATGTTAACGCATAAATATTTGGACATCCTAAATATTGTGGTTATAATAATAATACGAGTTTTAGAAAAACTGAATGAGCAATGTGAAAACTCATTATTGTTATAACCACATTATTTAGGATGTCCAAATATTTATACATTAACACGCTTGTATCGAATATTTTTCTCTGAAGCGAGAATAATATTTTTAGGATTTAGGAATGGATTCCATTCGGCTCAAATTGTTTTATGAGAGTTGAACGACAAATAAACAAAATGTTTTAAAATCGCAAATGTGAATACAATTGAATAACGAAGGCCTTATCTAAATCTTAGGACTTAAATAATATTGTCGATATGAATTTATATCCCGTTTTACAAATATTATTTAAGCACTAAGATTCAGCTGAGATCAGTAAAACCTGCGTTACTCAGTTGTATATTGAATGACAAATTTGTGTTCTCTTACGTCTATTAATTTTAAGATCACAATGAAATCTTTTTGATTGAATCGATGCAATCGCGTCATATGCGAGTATGCAGTTTGATATTCGATTAAGCTGCTATGGTTACAGTGTGTCAACCTGTAAAAAATCGATTTTAACGTATCATGCAGATATAGAGTACGTATAATATCGTATTGCACGAGAGACGACACATCGCCCATGTGCGTCCATAAGTCAGAAAGTAGGCCGGCTATAAGCACGCCAATATAGATAGATAGATGCTCACTTTTAGGTTACGGCTGAATTATCCATGGGGGACACATTAGGTCAAGGTGGCATTTTTCTACCAGACCTTGTTGACAGACACTGCTTTAGTCGACGATGTCTGGGCCACCGGTAATCATCCCTTGTTAAGCATAGCTCGTATTCCTTTGCTCAATCTCGTTAAGGCTTGTTAAACTCGCTCGACAGACTCGTGTGTTTTTTAAATCAGAAACTTGATATCATTTGCGGTAGGATATTTTATTGTAGGACAGCATAAATATGTGAATTACATCATGTGGAAATGATACAATTATTTATATATTTATAATCCCATAAAAAAAAGATTCACGTGGAAATGATACAATTATTTATATATTTATAATCCCATAAAAAAAAGATTCATTATTTTAATTTTTGATCAACGTAAAAATTATAGGATAGAAAAATGAATGGATAGAAATAAATAACAAATAGATATACATACAACGGAATCGACCTCAATCAAAGTTCAAATTTCCTATAGATTCTTTGAATTATTTATTTTCCTTAGAATAGCTAATATCTGTGCAATCTGTAGAAATTTTTTAAGTGAACTCAATATTATCAGTACAGTAAAAATTGTTGTAAAACTAATCATATAGATTCAATTACGTTGAATGAATATTTGATGCAAGAAAACAGACGATTAATAAAATCAGTTAATATGAATTAATTAAATATCTTTGTGTCTTGATACTTATATAAACATATTTTTTGTGAAAGTGCATTGTCGATTATCCTGTATTTCTAATAGTTAATGAGCAGAAACTTTTTTTAAGAATGGCAAAAAAGGTAATTAATAATAAAACACAGATACTGATATTTAATAATATTTTACATTTAAGGATATATTATATCCATTTTTATAAATGTGTTTATATATTTAGCATGAGATTACAACTGATATCTAATAATATTGATCAATGAAAAAATGACAACGAAGCATGGAAATTAGATTCACCACATACTTAGATTTTTAATTTGTAATATTCAACCGTTTTTAATATTTGATTTATTATGTAAGGTAAGGAATTGTTTTTATGTATTAATATTGAAAAGATCCTAGTTTAAGAACGAAACAAAAATTGATTAAAAATTTGAAAGATATTAAATATTAGCTATCAAGAATTAACGTTAGCTCTTAACTCTTTTTACCTTTTATTATTTATCCAATTGATGTTTTATTCAATTCTTATTATATATTCATACTTTTTTAAATTATGTATAAAAGGTATACTTACAACATTCTATTTTTATTGAACAATACATTTTAATTTATTTACTTTATTTGTTATTATTGTTTTCTTGTTATAATGTTAAAATGTAAAAAATAATGACAAAATCTCAATTTTTTCGTATGAGTATTGAGTTGGTTGAGTTGGAATTCGTGCTGTTTTTTTTAACTCAAAATTATACATAAAATATATTTGTTGTTATTATATGTTATTGTATATCCATTCAAAGGCAAAGTTTTAACAAAAATTTGTTTTTTAAATTGCGATATGATGATTTTTAACGAAGTTATGAGCAATCAAAGTCAAAAGGCTCCTTTTACTCAATTCGATAACTTCAATAACTTCAAAAAAATCTTGAGAATATTTTTAAAAAACGATTTTGTAGGAAAAACTTTAAGCTTTGGATCGAAAATTTTCGCAAATTTTTTTGAGGAAAATTAGAAGAATCCAAAATTAAAAGAAAATTTTCCATCTTTTTCAGTTCATAGTTTTCTATATATAAAAATTACCAAACTCTACAGAAACTCAAAAAACATAGTAACCTTTTAAAGTAGAGAGCTTTTCAAGCTTCTTCAAAACTGTTTTTTTTTTTATTTAAATTTCGTTTATTTTTTATGAAGGTATTGTAAATATAAATTTTGTGCTAAAAAAAATGACACGAACTTTCTGATCAATATTTACTTTAAATAAATACATATTCAAAATGGTTTATACAAAGTTTCATTATAATGTATAGAGGGTTGAAATATACTCAAAAAATAATCAAGTTTAAAATAATGAATATGCTTATCAGATGCTTATTAGTATAAAAAATTATTAAATTGCTTGTATTTAAGATTTGGTACTACTATCCTGTGTGCATGAATGCACACAGGATAGTAATACCAAATCTTAAATAGCGGAAAAGCAATTCGGTGGTTTGTAGAATGTGGAATCAGTAATATATATAAATCTATTAAATGAATAAAGTATTTAAGATCTGCTTCTCGGTCAAAAATAGAAATTCTTCATATTTAATTAGAGTTCTCTTTTCGGTTCTATTTCAAATTGTAATTGTTCAATTTGTTTATAACAATTTGTTGCAGAATTGATTTTTTTTTGTAATATACTTTTAATGTTATATTTGAAATCAGCGACTTCAAAAAATCTTTTCATAAGTATTTTCATATTCGTACAAAAATTAATCTTTAAGTTTTATCATCTTGGCACAACATGATTGTTCTATAAATAAATTTTTATTTACTATAAATTATTTGTTTACAGAATAATTAATCTCTGAATCGCAATGAAATTTTACATTAAATTTATGTTAATTTTACACTTTAAACAGTATTTACATTAAAAATTGAAATTTTTGTTTTTATTTTATAAAATATTTTCATACATTTTCATTAAAATACATAATGTCATATGGCAAAGTATATTAAATAAAATAAATGTAATACGAAGGGCTAAAACAATTCAAATTTAATGTAATAAACTAACAATAATTATAATATAAATATAATTCAGAAATGATTCATATCAAAAGACAGAAACAGAGCTTAAATAGGCAAAATGTCACCGAAATCCTATCTTCATATTATACAATCTCTTTCCCCTTCCTAGTTTTCTTTTTCCTCACTCCTAATTTTTACCCTTCCCATATCGGGCAATATTTCTCTCTTTTAGTTTGACTCTCAATGACTCTTATTATACAATAATATTTTAGACAATAACGATCATCTCTATCGCATTTGCTTACACGCCAATCTTTATTTTATTTTATATATTGACTCAATCGTACTTTATTACATTTTATTATATAATATTAAACAACACATTTTGCTTATTAAGGTATCAATTTTTATTATGTACACATTTTTCTTTTTACACTTTATATTTTAAATTATATGAACCTAATTATTTTTTCATTTTACTTAATATATTTTTGTATATTAACAGATTCTTCCATTTTTTTTATTCGATTGATTACTTATAAAATTTCCGGCTGCTATGAACCTTTTATTGGCGTTACTATATTTTGTCATCCAATTTTATACTGCGCTTTTTTTAGCGTTACTATCATATCATATTATCAAATTTGCACTGAGATTCTTCAGAAATTGTGACTAACAATGAATTATTACGTGCGAAGCTTTTACATCGAAGCTTCTTTATGGATTATATCTTAATTGAAGACTGTATTTTTTTATGTATCTATTCTCAATCTTGGCCGTCATCGTTATATTGTAATTATATTATATATGTAATTATATTAACATCATTATATTGTAATTATAATATTTACTATAATTAGTAAATATTGATAATGACCTAAAGGAGATCATTATCGAAACATCTGTTTATATTCTCAATTGATCTTGTAATCTGTTAGTTTATTATATTACATTTCATTATTACATATTACGTGTACTTCGTACATTTATTTTATTTCCATTAAAGTAAAGCTAAAAAGTTTCAATTTCTTAGTGAAATAACTTTTGATGATTCTAAACTGCTGCTAATTTTTTTTTGTATTACGTTTAAATGCAATCTAGAATAATTTTCTGTAATTTTCTCATTATCTTGAAAATATGTGTAATACATCCGTAACGATCTATTCGTGTTGTATTATGAAATTATGAACGCAGTAAAGGCTGTCGTGAATTTTTTAACGATTTCTAAGGTGGTAATAATACTTAAATGAAGTGTAGTGTAGCGAATATGACTATTTATGCGACTTATAATGGAATAGTTTTGTCTTTAATGTATATACCCTCCTCTCTCTCTCCTCTCACAGAGTAGGGTGGGACTATTCCGTCAGTTTCAACTTTAAAGTAATACGAAAACTTACGATAACAAACAATATCTCTTTGCAGTGGCGTGATTATAATTATATTATATCAATCATGATTGCTCTTTGAAGGCACAAGCATAAGTTTTAAATAATGATCTGATGTATCATTCAGAATTCTAAATCTTAATATCTTATCGTAGAACTATAGATTCAACCAAAAAATTTTGATCCATTTTCAACCAAAATTCTAATTAATGTATCCAAACTCTTTCCAGTGCAAATAACGAAAAGCAAAATAAACTAAAGTAGACTTTCTAATCCATATAAATTTTTTTACTATTTCTATTATTTATTTATATACCATTATTTGAGAAAAGGCGAAAGAATTTATTTCAACTAAATAACAAAGAATTGAAAATATAAGTGAGTGAAAGGAAAAAAGAGAGAGAAAATTATTTTTATAAATAATTTCTTTTGGATTTTGATCGAATTATATTATTTTATTGCGTATGTAGATTTATGAAATATATTGGGATATATTGCACAAGTATTTCCCGTTTATGCGCAGCGGGAATGCATATCCATTCACATAGGACAAGCGGGCGTGCAAATGGGAAACGCCTGTTGGGAGCTTTATTGTCTGGAGCATGGTATTCATCCAGACGGACAAATGCCCAGCGATGTTAGTGTGGGCTCCGGAGATGATTCCTTTAACGCATTCTTTTCCGAGACTGGTTCGGGGAAGCATGTCCCACGAGCGGTTTTGGTCGATCTCGAGCCAACGGTAGTAGGCAAGTGTCCTAGAAAGAATAATTCATTTTTGAGCATTATAATTGAAAAATTCATTTATTAAAGAAATTATTGATTGTTGAGTTGAAGATACAAATTTTTATAACTTTACATTGCTGAGAGTTACGTCTTTCATTTAATCACTGATCATTAAATCCTGGTCTCAATCATTTAATCACTGTAAATTTTTCTTAGGTACGTGTATTATTATACATTAATAATAGAGTTAAGAAGATATAATAACGAATTATATTTTTTAATACTTTAGATGAAGTGCGCACGGGTACTTACAGACAATTATTCCATCCGGAACAAATGATTACCGGGAAGGAAGATGCGGCTAATAATTATGCCAGAGGCCATTATACAATAGGTACTTCAATTTACCTTCACAATTGTAAATCTGTAAAAAGGTTGAAGCTTAATTATAACGTATAAACGATTGGCCAAAAATATTCTATATAAATTCATTTTGTAAGAGAAGATCGTTAAATGTGTTTTTTAATAGAATGATAGTCATGTATTATTAATGATCTTGCGATTTTTCAGGAAAAGAAATCATAGATCTCACTTTGGACAGAATACGCAGACTGACAGAGCAGTGCAAAGGCTTGCAAGGCTTCTTAATCTTCCATTCTTTCGGCGGTGGCACAGGCTCCGGATTCTCGAGTCTGCTTATGGAACAACTGTCCGCAGATTATCCGAAGAAAAGTAAACTGACTTTTAGTATCTATCCAGCCCCACAGGTAATATTATTCTCCCTACTCGGAATATTTCGATTTTTGCTCAAGAACTTTGATTTCTTTGAAAAAAATTCAAATGATATAATTTAATTTTAATTTAATTTAATGATATAATAATATAGTCTGTATACATATATACATTTCTGTTTGCTTCCTTGATACTATTTAGTGAATAGTCTACTTTCTCAACAAACTATGAAATTGTCGATTTGTTTGACTATCTAATTATTTTCTTTATTACGAAAGCGTTTACATTTTTCATAGGTATCGACTGCAGTAGTGGAACCTTATAACGCAATTCTGTACACTCATCCGACGTTAGAACACAGCGAAGTGGCTTTCATTGTAGATAATCAGGTGCGTACTTTTGCGATAATGTTGAATCTAAAATCAACATTAATCTTATATTTCTAAAATTTATTACATTATCTGAATTTCGTGAACGCTTTTACAACTCAATTATTGAAAATCGATTGCGAAACGGCAATTTCTCTTAGAAATGGATTCTAAATACTAGCAGAAAG